TGAAAGAATCTTCACTTCGTAACTTGTAATTGTACTTCACTTGAGTGGCTTTCAGATTAGTAGTCCAAAAGAGGACAAAATTTGCTCTTAGAGACTTCTCAAAACCACTTTCCCTGTCTTCATATACAAATAGCTTTTGATGTAATGCTCAGCACAGAACATTGTAGTTTGAAAAGGAAAAGGGGGGAAAAAAGGAAAAAAATTGATACTTACTATTTGGTATGTGAATGCTGAAGCCTTGTAAGTGTATGTTGTTTTTGCAGAGAGACAAAGGCAAAACCACTTATTGCACTGTTTATTTTTAGAGAACACTTCTAAGGCGAGCCACTCCACACCCTGGAGAATTAAAGAACATGAAAAAGACAGTGGAGAATTTACGGAATGATATGAATGCTGCTAAAGGACTGGATTCAAACAAAAACGAGGTCAATAATGCCATTGACAGAGTGACCACTTCTGTGTAGAGTTTCATATCCAGGTTTTACCTCCTGTGTCTTCCCCTGCTGTTGAAATGTTCCTGTCATCTCCTGGGACCTCACTGAGCCCCTTTTTGTTTTTAACCAGAACCTGATTCATCGTCTCCATACACATGAAACGTGCAGCCCGCTGGAAGAAAGTGCCTTATTTCATCCAGGCAGTGAACCAATAATTTCCAAATCAATATTGTAATTTTAATAGTCTTAGGCTTTTTTAAGTTTAATACACTACTGTATGCAGAATACAATATTTTTGTCTTAAACACAGGGGAAATAATGCTTTTCTTTTCCAGAGTGCTGGGATAGCTTCTTCCCAGTGGCTGGATGTGCTAGTGAGAAATATAGTTTTGTGGGAAATCGATACACTTTTTTATTTTTTTGGCAGCTCAGATGGTGTAAATTTTAAATTTTTGTATAGGACTTTCATAACAAGATGATGTATTTCACTTTTAAGAGAAAATTTATCTTGAGCGGTACATATTTTAGTATTTGTGGAAGAGAAAAAGTTTCATGGACAACTGTATTCATTTGTTTGTACCACCCATTGTGCCTTATTGTGTTTGGTATGTCATAGTAGTCTTAAATATAGCAATTCTCAAAGAAAGTGAGTAAATTTGGTCTCCTGCTTTAGATATGTTTTTCTTTTTGGACAGTAATTTGTTGGGAATTTTACGGCAGAGAACTTATGTTTATATTATGGGATCTTAGGTTGTGAAGCACAAATGTTAATTTTGTTGTAAACAGAATTAAGATGAAATGACCAAACTGCTATTGTTTATTACATAATGCACTCACACTTTAACTTAGTTGTATTGAAACATCTTGGTTTGGATGCCTTGTTGCATTGCAGTCACTAGAAATTCATGCTTCCATTGTTTTTTTTTTTAATGTGCCATCTGTAAAATAATTTGAAAAACAGCACGATAGACTTTCAGAAGCACAGTATGAAATTAGTTTTATGTATTACACAAGAAAGCATGATTCTTTAAAGTGCTTTGGTGGTTTTATAAACATTTATAAAACCATAATAAAAACATCTTTAAAAGCTTCAGTAGATGTGATGTATCATTAAAACAGCAATTAAAGTATCTCTGCATTAATGCTGTCATTGTTACTGTGTTGCACTTGAGTTGTCCAATGCTGATTTCAAGCATTACTAAATCTGTGGGTTCTAATTTGTTTATAAAGGTAAGTATTAACTGAGTTGAATTCAGTAAATAACAACTTTGCAAAAGCCTGATAAAGACTGATGTTGATGTCTCTGGGTTCTGTTAATTTCTCTTCCCCAAGATTCCTCATTTAATGGTTTTGCAGGAGAGTGCTGGAGGTTTGCAACTGTTAGGTCACTTCAGTGGTAGTGCAGTTTTATTGTTCTCAAGGGAGAGTTCTCCTGGTTATTCTTGGTAAGCTGCTATTAAAATAACACCAGAAAGAAAATCAGGTTTTGGTACAGCTGACTCCAACCTTGGGTAGAATTTTCTTTTTAAAGTACTTACTGGAATCGACACAATAGAAGTTTAAAAATGTAGTAAACCCTGTACCCAAGAAAGTAGCAACAAAGCCGTTTGAGATGAAAAGAAGTTCCTAAAAAAGACAGTTCCTAAAAAAGCCAAAGGCAACACGACTCTGTGCTGCCAGTTTTTCATTTGGAGGCTGTGGCTTGTTTTGTTTTTAGCGTCTGCTCCATCAGCAAGATGAATGTTTAAAGGCTGGATTTGGGTCTTGCCTGACCTGCCACCAGATGAAAATAATTAATTGCCCTTACTACTCCTGATTACCTATTCCCTCCTGCTGCAGTCAGAACAAGACATAAATCTTGTTACAGCTCTGGGATGTGCGCTGTGTCGCTCGGCCGCTGCTTTTTGTACATTCCAGCAGGCTTGTGGAGGCTGCTGTAGCCCACAAACTCATCACAAGGCAAGCACTACTCGCTGCATCCACTTTGGCACAAAGTAACTTGTCAGCAGTCAGTATTTTTTACTTCAGTGATTTTTAAATTTTGGGGTGTTTTCTTGTAGTAGTGGAAGGAATATTTGTTGTGGTTTCTCTGGCTGCAGATGGCTAAGTGGGTGATCCAGGCTGTTTGCCTTCATTTGGGACAGTTTCACATTCCATTCACATACCCAGTGGTGGCTGGTATTGTCTCCTTGTGGTCATCTCAGCCAAAGATGGGTGGTATGAATTGCATATTGAAGGTGTTTGCTTCCACTCAGTTGTAAAAGAAAATAAATTGAGCTCAGTCTAGAATCCAACAATTGCTTAATGAGAGATTAGAGGAGCTGAAGTCCATCATCAGACCAGCCAGCTACTATCCCCAGAGGAATGTTGGCATTTCTTGCTTTTCACTGCCATCTCTCTTCACTTTGTTAACCTTTGTAGAGGAAATCTGGATTTTTGTTATGCTTTTTCAATCAGTATCTGGGAGAGAGAAAAGAAGAGGTGTATTTTTCAGGTGTCTACAGTAATACTGTGTAGCAGTGTGTCTCATTAATGTCTTTTGTTTATGATTTTTGGTGAGGTAATTTGAGATTCTGCTCTGCTCCAGGTAGTTCAGCACTGTGTACAAGGTAGTGTAATGTTTGAGACTGGCAGTAAGTGTAGTTTCCAGAGTACACCTTGAGGTATGGCAACAGCTGCAAGTGGTATGGAATAAGAGCAGATTAAGTGTTTTTCAGGGCTGACAAGGTGCTTGGATTCTTGCTGTGCAAACAGAGACAAGTGGCTACCCTCTCTCTCCTCCTAATGCTTGTTCAGAGTGACTTGCATGTTGTTCTATTTGATCAACCCTCCATCAGCCTAGACCTCAGGAGTCCCTCTCATCTCTTGAGTGATCCATGTGTGTGCCATTTTGTAGAGTGGTTGAAGTACCCTTCTCCACCCAACAGAGTTCATAACATGCCAGGCAGTTTTAACTCTGTTTTATAGCCAGAAAAAGTTGATGACACGTGTTCTGATGAAACTATGTCTGTCCTTGAAACCATGAGCCGTCTCGTCCCAGTATCTGTTTTTTTTTCTCTTGCTGATGCTGTGAGGAGCCTGCATAGTGAATATGATTATGACTTCTTTCTTTATACACTTTTCCTTCTTTTCTTTGTCTTTTGAGAGGTGGGTTCAATGCAAAGAGGCTACAAAATTTGCATGTTGTTTTATTAGCTATAAACAGGTAAAATCAACTGACCGCAGCGGTGGAGTGGATTTAATATTAACCTGCCAGTTACTGCATACAAGTTCTCTTTATTCAAAGTCACAATTCCTAATCTGAAAAGAATAGTAAGAAAAAGGCACTCTTGTACTACCGTAGTTAGTGTAGCAATGGATTTTTCCATCCCCTGTGTGTTGCTCCAGGCTTTCCCCACAACTTCCCACAAATTTATGTGTTGAGATTATTTTTCTGGCTTAAGTTCCATATTTTTGATAATCAGTGTATTGTAGGAAAGTGTTTACTGGAAACTTGCATAACACTGTTCTTTCCAGCAAGTGACTTGTTTGTGTCGTGCTTGGCCTGCTTCTGGTCTAGCACTGATGCTTTACCAGTGCTGGGTGAGCAGCTTTTTGCTGATTAGCTACTTAACAGGTTTCACTACTTGGAGCTCGTAATTTCAGCTTTAAAGAGAGAGTAGTGATGCCAGGAATTTAATTTTTTAAAAAAGACCAGTTTTTAGAGTATTGGTTGATGATATCCAGGTTTGCTGTAAATGTCAGCCTCCCACTGAGACAGAAGCATACTATTTATCAGAAATGTCTAGACCTTTTGTTAATGAAGAATGCACCACCATTCTTTGCCTTGACTTTGGAAAATAAAATTACTTTAAGTTTTTTGATTGACTTGATAAGAGTGTTTCCCATCTTCAGTTTCTGACAAACATAAAAATCTCTTTCTGTGCTTGGGTTGCTGTCAGGGAGTATTACAAAAGCTGTGCTTGACGATCAGTAATTGTTTGGGGTGTTCCCTTTCTCCTGAAGCAATTGTGAATTCAGTGGGACAGCGCCTCCCTCTTTTATTGTAAAGTAAGGACTATAATCATTATTCCACCAGCTGAATGAAGAATGTGATTTTTTTTTTTTTCCCAAAGCGGGTAGTACATGTCTGATTTGAGCTGCCTCTCTGAGCTGCTTAGCAGGAGCCATCCTGTCTCCTCTTCTGGTGGGTGTTGGAGACACTGTTTGTTTTATTCCCTGTTGTGCAGTTCTTGTGGCAGTGGGCTGCTCAATCATGAGTTCTGCCAGAGCAGAGGGCTTGGAGGAGGGAGCTCAATGAGTGTAGCAGGACTGTGAGCTAACCTCAGGTGTGAGGGTTCATGGCGGTCTGGCTTTGAATTTGTAACCTGTTCAGGGTGTTTACCTCTAAACACTGTTGTTACTAGTCCATTAACTCTGAGATCTTAACAAGTAGCTTATCTTTTGCCAGGAGAAGACCTCTCCTGAAAATACAGTATCACTACTGTCCATGGAGAGAACTGTGGCTCCTCAGTGATGTTTCAGAGAAGAGTTTTAGCAAACCTTCCTCGGCATTAAAACCAGGAAATGGACACCTGGTGTACAGTAACCTTTGACACTGTTTCTCTGATGTGCTCCTCTGTTGCTGGGAATGTTGTCTTGGCTGAAATCTCTGATGTGCAGCTGGTGGTAACAGCCAAACACAAAATGTTAGCAACGTTCGCTGCGGAAGACCAGTGCTGACTGCAGTAACTTTCCTCAAGATCCACAGATGCACACAGAGCTTGGAAATGCCACTAAAGCATCAGCAGCTTGGATTTCAGTTTGTAAGCATCCCCAGTATAATGCAGAGAAGGTTTTAGTTGGACACAAAACTAATTAAATGCTTCAAAGTCTTATCTTCTTTTTCTCCTGAAGCAAACTTGGGCAAGTTGTGGCGGTGTGCTTGTGATGGAAACAGTCTGTGCTATGATCACTCTCAGGAACTTGCCAGTTTTACTCAGTCTCAAAATAAATGGGCTGCTTTAAATAATTTTGAAGTTGCTCATAGAAGATAGGATTATCCCATATTTCTGGAACATTAAACATTATAATCATGACTACATGATTACAAACATGAGTGAATTTCTTTATAGTTTATTAATGGCATCCTGGACTTCCACTAAGCAACTTAAAACCAAAACAAAATCCGAATTAACTAACAGAAAGGTAGGTTTGAGTATTACTGATGACATCATTCATAAGGGGAGAAAACCTCAAGTCTGAAGAGCATTTGCATAGTGGATGTTTTTAGGATAACGTACAGGAATTTTTAAAAATTGTATTTTCAGGAACTTAAATCTTATCTGAATAGTTAATACTTGAGTATCTGAGTTTGAAATTAAATTGTGTGTTTACTGCTAGCAAAGTGTATATGCCTTGCTTCCATAATCAGTTCAGGCAGCTTTTACACTGCCTCTCCTCCAGTGGAAACATATTCAAGGATGCCTTTGTTTCAGTAGCATTTTGTTGAGCTTTTGTTTCATGTGAGTTACACAAAGCTTAGAAACAGTCTTTTGTACTTTAAAAAGGGAATGAGTCTGAAATAGTTTTTGATTAGTCGAATACGTTATGTATGGTTGTACTTTGAAGCAGAAAAGTGTTTATGTTCTAGGAAATGAATTTTTAAAACCATTATCTCTCCCATAGTTGTGCTATTTAAGCAAATACTTTAAATAGAAAAGTAGGTGAGAATGTATGTTTGGGTTTTGAATTGTAGTAGCAAGTATATGACCATTCTATGTAGCTGGATTCTACTTGCCAGTGGAGACCAGGCTGTGGCTGTAAGCAGCATGTTTCACTGTCACTGATTTCAGTGTGGTGCTTTCAGAGACATGGGTGGCTTTCATGTCTTGGCTTTTATTGTTAGGCTGTTTTGGATTCTCTTTCATTTACCAGAATGTTTTAGGGTGATACAAAGCATTTACACACCTTTGTTTCTGGAGGAAATTTATTCTCTAGGGCATCTGTTAGTGAGATCTTATCAGAATAGACACCTTGTGTTTTATTAGAACAATTTGTCCTCTTAACTACAGGCGTATGATACAGAGCAGTAGTTATGTTATGGAGAGACAGCCTTTGAAAAGATGAAAAACATGTTGAAAGGAGGTAAAAACGTCACTTGACTTGCTGGTGAAATACTGAAACAAAATGATCTGTTACCAATCAGGTTCATTAACAGTAAAGGGAGAAGAAAAATGTGTTTCCATGGAACATAACTGCTGGGCTGATAAATATTTTTTCCCTCCAAACACTTCTGATTTTACAAAACAAGCAGTGTTACACTGCCCACATACCCACAAAGCTTAAAGTCCTAAATACAGAATTTACCTTCTTCATTTCATTTCAGTTACTTTTAAGAAAATGTAAATCTATGTGCATTTCACTTTGTATTTGCTGCTAATGACTGAAACCAGATGTAGTTTTAATCTTTTTGGGTCTTAGCTTCCCCACATATGAAACACAAGAAAAACTTCCAAATTTTTCTTGTGTAGTAAGAAGACCAATCTGTATTTACCAATTTACCAAAATCTGTAAAATTTTGTTAGGAGAACTGATTTTTCTTTCTTCGTGTTAGGATATTTGCCTGTAGCCTCCTGTCTCAAAGCATGGTCCTGTAGTATTTAATAAAATGAGAATGAGCTAATAAATTACTGGAAGTTTATTAAGAGAGCTTCATTTTTGGAGTACAAATCTGCTGTTACCTCAAATAAATTGAGAGGTAATGGAAGCTTGTTGCACATCTATATCAGTTTTCATTAGTACATCAGAATAAGGAATCAGTTTTATTTTTGGCAGGGAAAACAAAATCCAGTAAAAACATCAGACTGAGAGGTTGAATTCACTATCTTATTTCCAGCCCTATCCCTTTTCTTTCATCAAAAAGGATCAAGTTGTAAAAAACAATTAGTGATTAAGATTTGTTTGCAAAATAATGTTAGCTTGCACTCACAGCAGTAGTATTCATTGGCTTTGTTTCGCCATTTTACTTTGTGGAAGTATAAGTCATGTGTTTTGCATGTAGGAGGTACATGAAAATGTAGACTAAAGGGCATTTCTAGTTGTTTCATCTTTTGCTATTGATACAACCAAATAATGAAACTGCTTTCATAAAGATAGTGCTATCCACAGTATTATGTAGACCTGGTGAAAATTCTTTGCCAGAATTGTTCTGTTGGTTCTATTTTACTTTGTAGTACTGTAGATCAAGAATATTAAATACTAAAATTTCTTGGGTAACAGGTGTTAAAGAGGTACTGAATTTTCCTTACAGCTGTATGTCACCATGAGGAAAAGCATCCTGCCATAGGAGAAGGCAGACAGGGAGCAGGAGTGCCCTGTAGCTCTGTGCTCCCAGCTGAACTGCAGGGGGCATAGGGATATAAAATCTACTGATGTTCATCACCGTGCTTCTTTGCATACAGGAGGCTGCCACTGCAGCTGAGCATGTGCCTAAAATGATGAAGGGATTGTCAGCATAAGCTTAATTTCAAATCTGTCTGTTACTTTGAGAGAATAGCCTTTTACTGGTTTTACAGAATTTGGCAGGCTGAGTTTGAGAAGCTGTTGTTTAGGATTAGGGATCAGGGTCAAACAAGGATGAGATGTTTTCTTGGAAGAAGTTAAATGCTTCACTGTACCCATGTTTATTTTTAGAGTGAAATTGCTTTATGACTTCCTAATGAGCTTAAAAGTTGACAAGGATTTAAGCTGTGTCATTAAATACCCTGAATATTGAGAGATGGCACATTAGCTAGTCTGAAATACAACTGTCCAAGCTAGCAAACAATTTCACCTAGTGTACTGTTTATCTGTCTGATTAGAATTGCTATCCCCCTAGTTAATATTCACAGAAAGCAAAGTTTCTGGTTAAGGGCACCCTATATTTCCTTATTTGAGACGAGTGTGAAGAAAGGTCAGGAGATATCCTGCCTTGCATTGTGAATTGTCAGGAGGAAAGGGAGCCACTGCTGTATTGTGATTTTTTGTGCTGCTTTCCCATTGATCAACTAAATTGACAATCAACTCCACTGTCCTGAGCAATGTGGTTTAGAATAACAAGAAATATGGGCTGTTTACCAGGAAGTAGCTATATCTCTGAGTGTCAGTGCAGTTCAAAATGTGATTTAACAGCAAATTTCTTGCAGGAAAAGGCCAATCATGCCTTCCTTGTACAGTACAAATAATCATGTGATGGGGTTATAATCTTTTCAAGACTCACAGAAGGGTCTACACAAGACGCTGCGATACTGTCCATTTCCATTTCCTAGTATTTTCAGCCATCCTAAAACTGAGAGAAATGAAGAATCCCAAGAGGACGACCTTCTTTGGCAGCTGAAGATGAATCAGTGTGTCCAGCATGAACAGTCTTGTCCTATCCTTGTCTTTTTCCACCTTAGATCTAATAGAGATTGTGACATCTGGGTTGCTGTTAGCAGTAGCATATCTGTGTGTTTGTGTATGTGAACGTAACCGCTCTGTATTTAAATAGGAAAACTGAAACTTAAAGTACTGTTAAATCTGAATCAAATACTTGTTAAAACATGTGAAAGTCACCATATTCTTCTGATTTCCCACCACAAACTTGCTGCAAATTGTATTTGTTAGTTTGTTTTCTCCATTGATGTATCTTATTTTTTTGGCTGCTTTTTGCCATTGGATTTGTATTACTGTAAGAAAATGCAGAAGTGAGATTTAAAGAAAGCTTCAAAGAAAGATAAAGGTTACTTTGAAAAATTACTTTTAAAATTCAGTGAAATTTAAGTATGTAAGCAACCTTGACACAACTTTGTCATGTATAAACTTCTGAGCGAGAAAGGTGGAGTATTTTGGATGCCAATAAGTAATGGGCATTTTGGTATATCTGAACTATAATCACTTTGTAAATCAGCAATCCTTAAAAGATCAATTAAGTGTTGTGCTTTCTATTGGTACCATTCAACAAAAGAAACATTTTATTTACTGAATAATGAAGAGGGGAGTGACTTAATAGTTTTTTTTTTAACTCAGGTAATGAGATGAGATGGTCACCAAAGGTCTAAGTACTCTTGTTTGTTTTCTCAGTAGTACACTTTATTGAAGACTGTTGTCGATCATTAATTCTTTACGAAGCTGAAGGTAGGCTTGGTCCCATGTTCTTATAAGTCCTTAAAGGCTTCCACTATTTTCAGCAGCCTCTGCTTGCTCTTTGTATCACCAGTAATGCCCATTAACTGGCAAAGTGTCTTTGTGGGACTGAAGGTACTTCTAAGGGTAAAAATGGGAAATGCAGTATTTGCAAGAATCTAAAATACCTTGCAGAACTTGCCAGACAGTTTCTGCACTTATACACCTCAATTGCTTTCTTAAAAAACTGTTCATTGCCTTTTTTAAAATGTCCTCTTTCTCTCAGGACTCTATTAAGTGGCTTCCCAAGTCTCCTAAACTGTACAGTGGCCATAACTGGAGCTCCCAGGGCTCTCGCTGGGCCTCGTTGAAAGGGAAGGAAGGTTTTCATGGTGGTAACCTGTACAAATTCAGCTCTGCTAATGGAAAATGGAGAGAAGGAAGGATCAGTCCTGAGCAAGAAGCAGAGGAACTCGAGGATCCTGATGATGTAAGTACTCTTGAAATCAGGAGAAACAATGTGGATCTGTGAAGAGGCTGTAGCTGCTCACACTGCTGTGCAGCAGAGTACTTTGGGTTTGAGGAACCTGCACTGCTTATACTCTCATGCCCTTGCTTGTGCAGAGAGTACAGAGCTATGTTCAATGTTTTATTCCTTCACTTTGCTTGCAATTAATTCATCCAACCCTCAAGAGTACAGTTTGACCTGCAGGTTAAGATGAGTAACCTGAGCAATGATGAGACATGTTTTTTTACTTTACTCCTGCTTATGCCCCCAGTTACCAAGCTCCCTCCATCTCTTTCAGGTAAGTGGGTTGCTGGCAGTGCTTGGTGCTCAGCATCTCCCTAGACCTGGATGGTAGAAAAGTGATGTTCCAGTGCTCCTCCATTGCATGTTAATTTTGGGTGATGCTCTTCCAGGATGCTGATGTCTGTGAGCCCCTGCCTGCTGTAATTTCTCCAGCCTGTGCCTGCCAGGTGTCTTGTCACCTGTGCTGCAGTCTGGCTGTCCTCTTGGTCCTAGCCAGGGAAAAGGAGGTGGTCATTGCACTTTTGCAGCCTTTCCCTTTCAGGGCATTGCTTGCCATTCTTCCTGATGTTAGCTGGGAGATGAGGCAGGAACTGGGGCTCCTGCTCCTCTTCCAGGACCTCTGCTTCCTTCCTAGCCCCTGTGAGTGCTGCTGGTGTGCCCCCGCCTGCAGCCCCCAGTCCTGGCTCTTGCTCATGGCCTTCATCCCCACAGCACCACAGCACTGCAGACGTCTCTGGGTTACTCAGCCTGGCACTGTTAGGAGAAATCTGTTTCAAGAGAAGAAAGGCAATGAATGTTTTATGTGAGTCAAAGCTAAGCAAATTCCCTTTTAAGTGAAAATCGGAAGCAATCATGCCTTGTGTGCTTTCCCTGGGGTTGGCAATGCTTCTTTCCATCCCAACCAAAAAGAGGTTGTGGGAAAGTGCCAATATAGATTGAAAAACAAACTGTCCAGTGAGGTTCTGCACAGCTGCTCAAGGTAATGCCACTGCCTTTTATTTTGATATTAAACTTCTAAGCTTAGAAAAACACTTATGGGGTTTATTTTCAGAGGTGTTGATGTGTGTTTGCTGCATCATTTTACTGCTGACAGAAGATAGAAGGATTTGGGCAATATGAAGATCTGATTTGACATGAACCCATCAAATAAGGAGAAAAAAAATCAGCTAAATATAAGTAAAGCCTAAAATGTGAACAAAATTTGAGATTGTGTCTGAATTTAATTTAACCCTTTGCCAGGAATTACTGATAGCTGGAAAACATCACTATATTTTGCAGTCAAACTTATCTGAAGTTTTAATTGTTTAGTGGTTGTATTTTAATTGTGTATTTCTCTCTTCAAGGTGGTTTAGCTAAACATAGGGTGACATTGTGAGCTCTTCACTGCATCTCCGAGGAGGTTAACCCTAGGGCCTAGAGTAGGCTTTAGTATGCACCACCTTTGAGGTTCCATTTCCAGAGGACTCCTAAATCATTTAAGTTTGCAGGTCTCCACTCACTGCCATTTGCAACTGAAGTCAATCAAATGACTGAAACAAAGTCTTGGATATGTAGATGCAAGGTAGGGGCTTGCCTTCCCTCTCACAGCTATGCTCCCAAAATGGAATGTGAGTTTTGAGGACCTGTAAGAAGTGTTTTATTTTCTGTATGGAAATAGCTTACCTTTGCCTTGTGTGTGTGGTTCCTTCCCCCAGAACTGTGGATTCAGTGCTACAGAGCTGCCAGAGGCTGCCCAAAATAGTCTTGTTCTCATGCTCTGCCATTTTCACAGGGCATTGCAGGATTTATGCACATATGGATATGTGTGTGTTACATGTGCTTGTGTTTCCAGGGAACCTAGTGAAAGGCTATACGAAATCCCAGTCCTCTCCCTGTTCCCTTAATTTCAACCCCAGTGTTGAGGGCAAAACATGCCCAGAGAAATAATGGTAAAAGAAATCTTTGTATGTTTGCTGTAAAGCTCCAGTTTTGTCTTCAGTGAAATAAATTCTATCGTACAGCAATGTGAGCGTGAGGAACAAGTTCATGTTAGCACGGGTAAGGTCTGTGTTTCAGATTCTCCTTGCTGTTGCTGTGTTTACTTTTTTTATCTTTAACCCTCAGGAACCTATTTCCAAGTTTTCTGGCAGCCTTTTTGATAGCAACGAAAGCATGCGAGATCAAAGAAATACCAGAACAACGCTTCAAGAAAAGCACAAGTTGGCAATGAGAGGGAAGACTCTTCCAGGATCTAACAGCAGGGTGCAGCCACCGGTGCCAGCAGCCGGCAGCTTCCCCGGCGAGAGCGGCCGGGCTGCGGAGCTGCGGGTGCTGGATGTGCCGCAGCCCCCACTGAAGGTGTGGAGCTGCTGCATGGGCTGGGCTTGATGCTGCTGGGGGCTCTGCATGTCTGTGGGGCAGTCCCTGTGTCTGTGGGGAACTCCTCTTGGGTGAGGTGGTTCATGAAAGATGCAAAGAAGGGAGGACATTGCATGGCAGATATCATGAGGCTTACCTTAAAGAGAGTAAGCTGAGGGTTGTCATTGCTCCCCACGGCTTACATGGAAAAAGAATTTCCCATTTAAAAACCCCAATAAAGCCCACTTTCCTTGTAGTCATGTATCTCACTTTATACATGCAGCTTTGGTATTGTGAGGCCAAGTCAAAGGTAAGTGCAGGTGGGCACTGAGCTGAGTCTTTGTTCAGTACATGGTTTCAAAGCAGTGGTGATAAGTCTTGTATGTGCCAGTGTTGAAGTGTAGGCTGGGCTCTCCAGGGGCATGTCTGCTGGTGTTCAGAGTGGGAGGTAGATTTTCAATGCTCACATAATTAATAGGCAATATTTTTGATTAATCAGGTCACTTAACCATTATAATTCTTTTCCAGGTGACCATTACGGTGTGCAGTCAATTGGGGAGTCTTGGTATTAGCATTGCTGGTGGAAAGGGCTCATCTTCATGTAAAGAAAGTGACGAGGTGCATTTCAATATTAAAAAATTATCTAGTGATTGTTAGGAATAGACTGATGAGTAGTTCCTTGAGTTATTGTGTTTTGTTGTTTGCTTTCTGAGAGTGTCCTTCATGTAACATTTCCATTTTTCTAAAGCTAACAAGGGTAAACATAGGTAGCTTATTTCCCAGAGTAGGATCTGGCATTAGATTTCGATGGACAGCTCCAGAAAGGATGATTTGGGAGAGATGCCCGAATGTAAACCAATGATTTTGCAAAGGCAACATGATGGCTGAAACGTTGTCTAATTCTCGTTTTCTGCCTCAACTTAGGGTCACTCCCTTGGCAATCCACATGCCTCTCCCATCTCATTTGCTCATTCCCAGGAGCTAACTTGATTTGAGAGAAATATTTCACACATTTTCTCACTGATTGATCTTTTAAATAAATCTTTGTTTTCCAGTGCGTTCCCCATGGCACAGTGTAAACAATTACTGACTTTTGTTCATTGTTGTATGTGTCAGCTGTAGAGGCTTTTTTTTTTTTTGTCTTGCTAATGGGCTAGACATTTAGTTTTTAATTTTATGGAGGCAACAAAACAGTAAGTCTTGAAAATTAATTACTTCCCGTTTGTTTTTTACATCATTGGGAGTACAGCGGGAGAAACTTGTCACTTCTGAAACCTATGTTTTGTGTTACCAGGGGATCCTGATTGCACGGCTGCAAGATGGTCCACCAGACTTGGCTGGTGTACAAGCAGGAGACAGAGTGGCTGAGGTAGATGGGTTGTTTGTCACTGTGGAATGTGTTCTCTTGTTGTCTTTAAATCAAATCACTTAGAGTTGGGGAACCTGACATCCAGATCTAGGGCTTGCCTTAGCTTTTTAGATAATTGCCATTATGAGGAAATTATAATAACATTAAATTGTTGTATTCCTTCTTATTATGTTGTAGTTGTCAGATCTTTATGTTCATAGTGCTTAACAAAATATTATTCACTTAAATGAATGATTTACAAAGGAAAATAATGGTCTTAGTAAGTGGTTACGTAAATATAAATGCTATATTTGATCCAAGACGCTTTCTTGTGACAAGGTATTAGATTTACTAGGTAAGTTGATTGCAGTTGCAACAAAGAACTAGGTGAGCTTTTTTCCCTAGGGTAATTTTTGGTGGGATAAGAACAGCTCAAAGTAACTACCCTGATGGAGGCTTGCAGTGCCAAGGGATAAATGTGCCCCTCAGCCTGCTCCACCTCAAGCCTCGTCTTTCCTAGCAGAAGCCACATTCTTGAGCTTCAGAATTTCCCAACAACAATGGGGGGGAAATGGTCACATACAGTTTTGTGTTACATACTTTTGATGTACCATTTGGTATCTACCTGCTGAGAATGGTGGAGTAGGAAGAAAACCTCTACAAAATTACTTTAAGGTGAAACTGGTCCATATTTTTTTTCAGCTCTTGTTCTCTTATACTGTCATTTATACTTGGTGAGATTAATAGTTTTTATTCTAGCATGGTCAATGTTGAATTAAGGTGGGATAGAGCAAGCAATATTGTATGTCTGTTAAATTGTCAGGAATAATGATACTATCCGTATCAGCCAAAGACTAATGATAAATTAATATACTAATTTTGTAAAACTATGCTATGGAGTTATTAATAGAGGGTGGTGTTCCATAATATGTAAATATTGTGTTAGTTTGACAGTTCTTAAAAGGTTAATTGTAGATAAACATCTATATAATTTTACATTTTTTCTTTTATGAAAGGCATTGTAACAAATGGGAGAGAATGTAAATAATTCTCTACACATTTCACCTTATCATATGATTGGGGAAAAAAACAGGATTTTTAGTTGCTGTACCTTTACCTTCTGAGCAGAATTTCTGGTCAAGTTAGTATCTTAAAAATCAACCCCATTGCTCAGGTTCCTCCATGAGGCTATAATTAATTATTTATTTTGGGGACTATTTGGAATATACTTTGTGTTAATATCTGTTCACTTAATCGATAGTGAAACAAGTAAAAAAGAAGAAATTTCTGTTCCAGTCTGTTCTACCCTGCTGTTTTTGTACAAATAGTTAGGATTTCTCCATCTCCCACAAGATGGCAGAATCATTCATCTGTTTAAAGAATGTGGAAAACAACTCTTTGCTTTTTTTTTGTGTCTGTGTGTGACGAGAAGGAATTAATGAGGTGTGCTATGGAAATACTGCTGTTTTGACCACAAGACTAATCTGTGTACAAATAACAAGCACTTTCCTCTTGGCATTATGTGTAACAATTTCTTATTCTTGAACTGGTAATTTCAAGAGTTCAAATATAAAATTCACCAAAAATGGGAAGCAACAAGAATTGCAATTTTATTTGCTTTTGTTGTTCAACCACATGTAGCAATAGGGCCAGGTGTTTGTATACTAACTTGAGAGGGAGGGAACTCCTCTTCTTAAACAAAATTCAGAATAAAAATATATTTCTGGTGTTTTCTTTTAAAGGCAACCTTTGTTTCAGAGCCTGCTGCCCTTGATGCTGGTCCTACTGAAGCTTCCCCCAAGGCCAGCCCCTCCCCAGCAGTCAACCATGTCATAACAGTAAGTAGGATGGCCCCAGTAAATAACAGGTCACTCTTACCTGAGAAATTTGTGTTGTCTTAATATTTTTGTTGTCTTTATATGAATGCTAGTAAAGACTGACACAGAAGTCAACACATATCAAAGATCAGATACCATACCAAGCATATAGATGGCTGTCACTGCAGCTGGGACATGGCTTCTGGAGGAGCTCAGCTCCTGGGTGAGCACCTGCATAGCAGAGCAGAACTTTTGAAGCACTGTGGTTTAGGGAATTTAGGGTGGTGTCCATTCCCCCCAGTCTGAGTCATTCTGTTGTCTGGACTCTGTCTCTAGCTAATGGAAGGAGCTGCATTTTCAGGGTCCCTCTTTTAGGAGGGAGAGGGTGAACTGCTACCTGGAGGTGGCCATTTTCATCTTCTGATGCTGGAGGGTGAACTTGTGTCACAGGCTAAGACATGCCTATATTTTAGGTGGCTGGTGAGAGAAAGCCTACTGCACATGTCACAGAAGGCAACAGCTGAGCCTGCAGGGTGGCTCTTAGAAATCCGCTTTTCTGAACTTCTCTAGCAAGTTCAACTCTCTGAAGACATACCGTAATCTTGGTCTTCTATGTGCACCACTGAAACTATGGCTTTACTAGGAAGATACAATAAGATCAAGGTATCTGAATAATAATTAAGGTCAAAAAGCATCTTACTTGTATGGAGCTTGAAGTACCAGGAAGCAGCAACTCCTTTTCCTATGGCAAATGCCAGAGGAATGCTTTGTTTGATTCCTCTTCTTTCAGTTTTTGTTAAATCTTTCTCCATTAATACCATTCACAACTCAGCTAATGGCCCAAAAGTGAAAATATGTCTATTATATAAAAGACTATAATCAAAGATCACATCAGTTTTTATTAACCATTTAAATAACTAGCGTGATTTGTTAGTTGACTGAAAAGGGAGCAAACAGATCATGCAACTGTTTTTGTCTGGTTTCCTCTGTTAGTCACTGTTTGACATATTGACCTACAGTTCTTGCCCACGAGATGGACTAAGAAAGGCTTTCCCTTCTATTAGCTGCTTAAAGAAACTTATTTTGAGGCCTCTGGCCTCCAACATCATCTTGAGATCATGATTTAGACCAGTTTTATTTTCCAGCTTAAAACACTTCCATCAGTTTGGCTTTTTTTTTTGTGTTTTTTTTTTGTTTTGTTTTTTTTTGTTCAGTTTTACCTGGTAGCTGTTTTTTAGTCTTTTATCAGCATTGCAGGAAACATGAGGCTTCCTGTTAGAGGAGAACCACACCTTGGAAGGTTTATTCATACATTGGAGGTGGCATGGATTAGTTGCCGTAGTATCTGAATTCTAGTATTTTCATCCAAAAAGGAGAAATTACTGTATTTTTATGTTGTATGCCTCCCTTTAAAGTTCTTCAATTGTAGTGGGGGGAGAAGGCAGATTAGACTGAGATACTTAACTTGGAGCAGAGTACTCAGAGGGAGTCAACTGGCTGACTATGTTCCGAGTGTCAAAAGTAATCAGTGTGCAAGTTCTTTTGTGAAGAAGCATTTGTATTTCTGGTTTAGTTTCTTTTGAAATAAAAATCTTTGTGCTGTAGCAAATGATATGTTATTTCCTGTAACCTGGATCAGCATTCATCAATTTTAGGGATTATGGGCGTGTGGGGAGTATCCTGCTGACTTAGGGCTGCTCAATTCCTCATCTGTTCTCACTTTGAAGTTCCTCTTATTCCTCAGTAACTGAAGGAAATCTTATTATCTGAAAAATGTTTAGAGCCTGACTTCTCATGGAGGACTTGCTTTGCATTTTCAGATAAGCAGGTGGCAGTAGGACCTTAATGCAGAATCTTCTTCTGTGCTAGGAATATAGGAAGGTTCATTTCCTTTGTGTTTCTGATCAGGTTTCAATAGAAGATGTGTCTACATCAAGGAAGGGAAGGATTGAAGCATAATGGCAGAGAAAACAGAGACTCCTATTACTATTCTGCAAAAACTGAGTATGTGCCAGATGGTGTCATATTTCTTCTCCCTCTCTTCCATGTCACCATCCTGCTTTCCAGCAGATACTATCTTCATCTGTTTGTTTTTATTGCATTTTAATAAACATCCTCTTTGCATATGCTCTCTGTGATAATATTTGTCTCATTCTTGCTAGCCACAGCCCACCCCATCTCTGAGCCAGCTGCTCTGGCATTACAACAGGCAATGCTGCTGCCAGGTTCAGGTTTCCTTTCTGTTTCCACAGGCTTGGTTGCTCTAACTGTTTCTAAAAGGCTCACGTAATTGTTAACTCATCCAGCCAAACTCAATTTCAACCCCTTTGTGTCAGCTTTAAGATTTCATGACAGTGTGAATGACCAGTAATTAATTGGACAAACGAAATGTTCTTTCACAGTGAGTCATTGTTTTGCAAAGGAAAAATGAGAATCTTCCTTGGTTTTAATTATAATTGAGTATTTTGCTGACATGTAGATAGAGGGCTCAGAACTTTAATTACAAGTAGATAGTTTTTACGTACAGTATTTTATAGACTTGCCTCAGTTATGCTAATCACACCTCAAAAACATGAAAACATATTTTACTTTGTTTTATATATGTATTTAAATTGAACTTAAATTTTAAAAAAATCAGGGATATAAACAAATGCCCATGCTGACTTTAACAGAAGGAATTCTGTTTAACAGAATTCTGACTTTAACAAAAGGATTCTGGAGTCTGCATTTAATTTTTGTTGTTTCCTATCCATCCTCTCAAATATAGAGCCAACTCTTCAGAATCTTTCTCTATCATAAATATTTTTATTCAACCACTGACTGAAATTCCCAGAGGATTTTGTCTGACTGAATGGAGAGTGTTGACAGGTTTCAGCATCTTCTATAATTTTGTAACGTGCATCATCATGCCATCTTCTTTGACTCATTTTTGGGACTATTAACATAATAAGGATATTAGATAGTTTGTAATTAATATCAAGTCTTCAAGATACTTTAATATAGTATTTAACTTAAATTGTTAGCATATTCTTTGATTTAATTTTATGCCTTTGCCCTGGGAATTTCCTCAATAGTATCTTTTCATATAGTTCATCAGGAAAACAAGTATCACTGATACTAAGATTTTCAAGGAAGGTTAAAGTAAGAGTTACCAATTAAAAGTGATTGTGTGAATAAATAAATAAATAAAAGATGAAGCTTATAGTACTGAAAGAATCTGAAGAACTTCTTTAGAAGGCTAAAAAAGCCAATTTTTTTGGCTCCTCTGTTGAAAATGCAGAGATACCAAACATTCCTAAATCTGCAAAAAAAACCAACCAAACAAAAAAAAACCCCAACCAGACAAGTGTACTAGAACCTGTAACATGTATCTAAATGAAATCCTCTTGTGCCTGCAGAAAATGCATAAGCAGATAAACCATCTCCCACAGTATTCAGTTGCTGGTCTCCTGCCTTTTTCTCATATTGTTCATATGCAAGTTGTGAGAAATCTGACATGGATGAGAATCCCAGAAGATCTACCTTCTTCATTTCCAGGTGATAAAGACTTTTCAGGAAAAAACCTTGATCCACTTACATTAGTTAAAAATCTTTAAAAATCTAGTTATCAAACCCTTTCTTTATTCATCTGAGCATGTCCTAAGCATATCAGAAAATTGAAATCATACAACATAAAATAAAACTTTTGTTTCTTTAATCATTGTCTTACTTTGTTGAATTTTAAAAGCAAAACCAGTGGAGTACTCAGGTCAGAGAAGCAGTATAAAAGGAGACAACTAAAGTGAGATTCAGAATGTCCTTATCATGAACAAAGCCAGGTTTCTTCTTAAGCTTGTTTCAAACAGTAAAGACCTTGCTCACATCACATAGAGTGTTTGACTGACCTATAGAACCATAAGGTCTACTACTTTAAGTTTCTTATGAGGAATTGCTTTATCCATTCTCCAAAACATTTTCATGACTCTTTTAATCTTGTCAGCTAAGGGTGTTGGTGTTTTTATGTTTTTTTTTCTTTTTTCTATTTTGACAAGCTAAGTTTGTTTTAGAAGTCAGGAATCTAACTCTCCACAGCCTTGCATCTTGTGCAGGTTTACATACATTTGCAAAGAAGCTTGTGAGCCTTCTTGGGTAGCTCACCTTAGTCATCGTGCGAGCTCCAGTGGAGTGTGAACACCCATGTGCCATGTGATTGCCTCCTCCATTTCATCTCCTAGTTTGCTTCTGCTTTTATCTGAGCAACTGAGTATTTCTGAGTCACGATGAAAGATGGAAGATAAAAGGTGTGAGTCGTAGACACTGTATTTACCTCCATAGTGTAGTGGTTAGGGAACTTATTTTGTGAATTTGAAATTAAGTTCCTGCTCCCAACAAATGCTTCTGTTTGCACAGTGTCTCTTTTTCCTCTCTTCCTTTTAAGTGTTTTTCTCACACACTCAGTCAAAACTGACTCATTTCAAACTTTAAGTTCTTGGATTTTGCAACGCTTGTAATTAACAATGCTAAATAGGAAAAATCTTTTAAAAGGACAGGACATTAATTGATCTTTTCAAGTTACCATATTAAAATACTTCCAAGTTGGAGAAAATCTACAAAATGAGCCCATCTTATGGTAGACAATATAAGCACTGCAGACAATATAAGCAAAAACATACAAAAGATAAACAGACTCAAGCAAGCACCTTGAACTGTGCTGTAGGATAGAATATTATTTGAGAATAAAAGAGGATAAGTATTTAAAGAGCTACATAAATGATAAGCAATGTCCTCCCTTGTGAAAGGCATCCTCATGGACTCTGGGAGTACTGCAGGGGAAGAGACTGAACTGAGTTCCTGCAGGCTTTCAGACAACCACTGCCTTTCACAGGGGTGATGAGTTTTCTTCAAAAAATCAAAGGTTGGCAACTTGGACCACGAGTAGCACTGCTTATGGGGGTAGCACTGCTTCTGCCTTTTAAGTCTCCTGATGTGGTTAGAGCAGTGCATTTTCTTTGATGTTTTTATAGCATCAGGCCATAAATGAT